CATGTTTAATCATCATAAGATTTTTACTTTTGTAACGTCAGTTATTTTAGTTTGTATTTTAAGTATCCTAATTTTAATTTATTAATTCGAGTCACCCTTTTTGGGTTTTAATGATGCTATGTTTCTTGGTGGACCGTCGAAATGTTCTGCAATCGTGCCGCTTATCAACTAACCTGTAAGTTTCTTCCTTTTTATGTAAGCCATTGATAGTTTGAGTGTTAATTTTGATACATTTGTTCACAGTTTTTTGCCTCTAGAAGAAACAATTAGTTTCGAAATATAGCAAAGAAAAATTTAGTTCTCTCTTTTTTTCTTATACCGATCGCTACACCCAATAACCTTATCATAATAATCATTTTCTCAATATTCAGGATTTAATATAATTATTATTTTTTATTGTCAGACTTCCGAAGAAAAAGATGATGAATAGCAAGCTGTAGAAGACTATAGTCAAGCTACTAATGGAAGAACAAATAGATACACCGAAATCAAGGGTTTTTGTTTCTCCCAAAATTAAAAGATGAAAAAAAGTGGAAAGAGAAGATCCTAGACTGGCTCGCGCATACGAAATTCTAGATAGTGCTGTAAGTGGACCAGGAACCCGTGAAGTATGTTCGGTATATGGAGCGCATGTTGGTAACAAGCCAAGAAAATTCAGCGAACCACGCAAGGCCATCCTTATGAATAAAATTAATAACTCGATTATTGAAGCTGAAATGGAATTCTCAGCAGGTATTTGGCAGTGGCAACATTTATAACAACATTCATAATAATAACCATGACAATGAGTACTCATCAAGTACTTCGTCTCTCACTTGTACTCCCGTAAATAGCCCTCTACCGCCCCAATCTGAGCCTGTACCTTTTCAAGAACAATGTCCCACATTCAATCCATCTCGTTCAACCACAACTCATAACCATGTACCTTCTCAAGGACCACTTCCCACAAACAACTCCCAACAGCTTTCATCTCACTATATCACACTGCACAACGTTGCATTTTCCCAAGCGCAACCTCCCACACTCAACTCTCATGAAGTATCTTCACCACATTGTAGCACATTACAAAATTATGTTGAACGTTTCATTGCCGAAAAATAAATTTTTCTTACCTGTACTTGGTCTTTTAATGCTTCGTTGAGAACTTGACAAACTTCAATCACTATTGTTGATATACTTTGTTTCGATATTTTGAAGAGATACATTAAGCTGGAAAATGAATCCCGAGACCAAAAACCGTAAGGCTATAGCTAATCTTTCTTTGGATGAAATAGCCTCTCTATAATTTGTATCATTTTTTCTTATTGCCGGGTTGATTAAATTTAACAAGATTTCAAAATCTTCCAAAGACATTCGGCAAAAATTTTCAAATTGACCAGTATTGCCCATCAGCATTTCACTTAAAAGTTGTTTTGCGCTATAAGCGGATCTAGTTGCAAGCATCGGAGTTACTCAAAAACGCCGTTTTCTGTTTTGCCTTTTTTTATTCAAATTATGCTTAATAACAATAATAGCAGCAGCAATTATAACTTTTCTATTAAATTCCATATTGACTTGCGCGCCAAATGGAACAGAACTGAACGTTCATATGCTTGCTTAAAATGGTTGCGCCATTCTGCGTTGCTGTGTATGGCACTGCGCATTTTCGCGCGGTGTTTTTAGGCGCAGCACGCGCAGCGCGGAGCGGCGCGTTTGGTCTGGATCCGGCTTAAGACCACCGGTATTATATTCTACGACGGTTCGGGAATAAAACGCCAACAGTGTCATTGAACAACGTTTTATTCTAATAAAGCACGTGTTACTAATCAATCAAACTCGATACATAAACCGAGCGAACGCGGTACATCCATACTCGACGGAGTTCACGGTGTGTGCACTCAGGTAGCCTAAACAATACTGTGAATAAACCGGGGAATAACTCACTAGATGGCGCTGATGTCGCTCACATATGAAATTGTACAGTTTGACCACAAATTTGAAAATCAAAACTACTGACATTAAAATTGACTTGATTTAATTATTCAAAATGGTACGGTGTATTAAAAAGTATCGTTGTTGTGCTGTTTTTGGGAGTACATATAGTACTTCCAGTCGCCATTGCTTTCCTCGTCCACAGAAGAAGACAGAACTATTTAATGAATGGGTTTTAAAATGTGAAAATCCAAAAATATCCAATCTGCGTCCAGAGCTTGTGTATAGATCACATCGTGTGTGTCACAACCATTTCACGAATAGTGATCGAGCCTCAAATCCATATTTAAAGGCAAACGCCGTACCAGCACTAGGTTTACCATCAAAAGGTATGTATCAAATTACTACTACTATAATATTATCACATCAGTTGATTTGATCTTTATCAAAACTAGCATAAAATAAATAAAGTCTTCTTATTTTTACATTATTTTTAAATATTTCATTATGTTTAATAACATCTTTAGTAATTTTGTAAAATACTTTTGTTGATAATGAGTTAAACTTTTACGTTGAAATGAGTACCGTAAAAATAAAATAAAACTGAGAGAGAAGTTATTTTATTAAACTTTATTTAATTTTACTGAATGTTTGATTTTTCAGAAACTGATGTTATTGGCGAGAGTCCACAACAGTCATTAATGTTTCATGACTATATATGCCCATCATTTGTAGTACCAATAGTGTTTGTCCTGCATTTAATTTTCTTATTTTCACCCCATGTCTGAGTTATGTGCGCATGTGCGCCGGCTCAACCTGGAGTTTTCAAGTTTAAAATACTCACACACACTGACTTCTCAATCATACTTTCTATCGCACGTGTCAATCATTCAAAAAAACCACGTTCTGCTATCACGTCCACCCACGCTCACACTTATATTAAATCAAAGGTAATTATATTTTCAATTTCATTTATATTAAATTTAGTCAGTTGCGATTTTTTATATTTGTTTCAAGTATGCAAGGACCATTGAGTATTGGTTGTTAAACTGTAAGTAATCAGAGACGTTTTCCAACAACAAATAATAAGTAAAAAGTTAATTTATATATAAAAAAACTTTTTACTTTTATTTTTAATGTTGTGTTTTTTTTAAATTAATCGGCTTATTAAATGTAAAAAGTAATTAAATTATTAACCTCTTAAGCGCATATGCCGTATATATTCGTCATGACCAGTTGACTAACGTAGCGCATATGACGTATATATTCGCATCGGCG